TTATACCCTGGGGGCATTTAGTCAAGGTACGCCACTGTGTCCACGTCTTAAAAGAGTTCGTATTTTTATGTGGTTTTATTTCCTTTGTTACTTGTTACAGACAAGTCAAAATAACTGCGTCACATTATGAGACTTCACTGCAGTTTTTGTCCATCTTTTATTTATAAAAGTTTTTATTTAACTTGAAGCGTTTGGTTTGTTTGTTTGTTGCTTTGTTTGTTTGAGTGATCGATGGTTTGGTGGTCGTGGATAGATCTCTTTTGCGTGGGACGAGCCATGAGTGCAATGTTAGGGATAGTTTATTACTGAATTCATCTCGGGGTCACAGAGTGAGCCGAGTAGGACAACAACGTTGATTATCAATATTGTTATCACAAATTAAAAGTAATAGAAGTTTAAAATACTTTATCTTTCTTAAACTTCAGGAATTGATTATCAAAATACGGAATTAGTCATAGTTTTAAATATGTAGGTGCTCTGGCATAATTAAAGGAAATCAAATAATCAAACGTGTTTTTGTTATGAAAAGTTTACCCCGTGATTCGAGACTTGTTATTATTTCCATATATTTAATGTTACGAAACAAATTGCCAATGTAAGTCAAGATTCTATCTTCATTCGACTATTGACTATACCAATCACTTATTTGTCAATAACGTGAAAACATTTACTTTCCAACCCTGTACCTTCAAGTCGTGAGTCACGTCTCCACTTACACACTACACACGCACGTTGTAAGAACCAAAACTAATAATAACGCCATGATTTTTGACAAGTTAACAGTACACAGATCTAAGCCCGTCGGTCGGCTCTCTTTGAACTTGAAACACGTGGTGTGAGGGGCTCGCACTTTGCACATCACATCAATGATTGCCGTGGCCTTGCACTTTGCACATCACATCAATGATTGCCGTGGCCTTGCACTTTGCACATCACATCAATGATTGCCATGGCCTTGCACTTTGCACATCACATCAATGATTGCCATGGCTTGCTTTAACGACGACATGGAAACTAAGAAAAGAGATGAATATTTTTTGAAAATTAAATCCATTAAATCCCGGGAATTTCGAAAATCCCGGTTTTCATAAATGCAATTCTGGTTTTTTTCGAGCATCGGTTATGGTCCGGTATTCTGGTATTTTCGAGAGTCGGGATCCCGGAAATCGACCCCTAAAATTAAATTGGTATTTCTCTCGAGTGGTACATGTCATTTATCATAATTTTTATCTCAAGTTGTACATGTCATTTAGCATCATTTTTATCGCAAGTGGTGCATGTCATTTAGCATCATTTTGATATCAACGGGTACATGTCATTTAGCATCGTTTTGATCTCAAGTTGTACATGTCATTTAGCATCATTTTGATCTCAAGTGATGCATGTCATTAAGCATCGTTTTGATCTCAAGTTGTACCTGTCATTTAGCATCATTTTGATCTCAAGTTTTACATGTCATTTAGCCTCGTTTTGGTTGCTGGGGAAACATGTTTACGTTATTAGATGCTTCCACTAAAACTGTGTTCAAGGAAAACAAGAACAAATGCCATATTGTTAACACCCTAAAGTTGCTTGATCATTGAGCTCAATATCCTGTTATCTCCAGGTGGTCGGCAACTACTTCACGGTAGGGTCCCAGGCCTTCACGAAAGACAAAAACTTTGTCGCTGCCAACGGGAAAACGCCTGTGAAGTTCTCCACTATATTTAACGGGACAGAACTCTACGAGTAAGTGGGACAACGGGGCAGAACTCTACGAGTAAGTGGGACAACGGGGCAGAACTCTACGAGTAAGTGGGACAACGGGGCAGAACTCTACGAGTAAGTGGGGCAACGGGGCAGAACTCTACGAGTAAGTGGGGCAACAGGGCAGAACTCTACGAGTAAGTGGGACAACGGGGCAGAACTCTACGAGTAAGTGGGGCAACGGGGCAGAACTCTACGAGTAAGTGGGACAACAGGGCAGAACTCTACGAGTAAGTGGGACGACGGGGCAGAACTCTACGAGTAAGTGGGGCAACGGGGCAGAACTCTACGAGTAAGTGGGGCAACGGGGAAGAACTCTACGATTAAGTGGGGAAACGGAAAAGAACTCTACGAGTAAGTGGGGCAACGGGGCAGAACTCTACGAGCACGTGGGGCAACGAGGCAGAACTCTACGATTAAGTGGGGCAACGGAAAAGAACTCTACGAGTAAGTATAGGAAGTCTCTGTAGTCTCCTTTCTTCAAGTATGAATCAGTTCATTCCATTTTCCCAATAAAGTTCTTTTGCAAATTTATCCGAGAAACCCGATTACGTTTGAAGGCAACTAACAGCCAATTTATTAACCTTTTTTTTTATAACATACTGAGCTAGCCTCAATAACCTTGACCTTTCACTTACTAACCTTTGCACTCAGAGCTGTGCGAGAGTACATGCCCCCAGAGTTCACAGAGCTTTACAACGCCAGTTTCTACGAGGACGGGTCACTGTATGACCAGCACCGGGCGCCAGAAGCCTATGACGCGGTGTGGGCGATAGCCCTGGCCCTCAACAACACCCTGACCCACCTCATCAAGACAGGTCAGCATTTCTGTCGTAACGGCATTTTTTATTATTCAATTTTTTTTAAAATATGCACCCTACTTGCAAATTGATGTGACATCTTATCATATATTGTTGCCGTTATTGTTTTATTTGTTTGTCACTGGTTTCTGGGTTAACAGCTGGAAAAAATTAACAATAAGTTACACAATAAATAAGTTGCCTGTCAAATTCAGACATATGACTTGGCCGTGGTGGAGCATAGAACAAGGATAGCCATATGTAACATCATATATAACATCATGTATCATATTTTCATGATATTATCACTTTTTTCACCCAGTAAGTGATACTTCAATGCTCTGATTCAAATTAGTACCAACCACACCCCACCTACATCTCAACTCCACCTTAACCCCAACTTGCACCCTCAACAACACACCCACCCCAATCAATCCACAGAAAAACATAACCAGTACCCCGAGTGGATGGACCTCGTTCACCTTGGATCATCTACGAGAAGGCGAACACCCGGAGATGGAGTCCCGTAGGCGGTATGACATTGACGCAATCAAAATTACGACACCATCCAGCGTTGTGGAGCAGCACCTGGAAATACACACACACTGCTGGCCATCAACTGCATCTTGGTCTATTTCATTCTTTACTACGTGTTGTCATTGGTTCAAATAGGCAAGGGCGAGAGGTTGAGGCTGACGAATTGTGCAACTCAAAAAATACAGCTCAAGTCAAGGCTACTACTCAAGTCAAGGCTACTACTAAAGTCAAGGCTACTACTCAAGTCAAGGCTACTGCTCAAGTCAAGGCTACTGCTCAAGTCAAGGCTACAGCTCAAGTCAAGGCTACTGCTCAAGTCAAGGCTACTGCTCAAGTCAAGGCTACTGCTCAAGTCAAGGCTACTGCTCAAGTCAAGGCTGCTACTCAAGTCAAGGCTACTACTCAAGTCAAGGTTACTACTCAAGTCAAGGCAACTACTCAAGTCAAGGCTACTACTCAAGTCAAGGCTACTACTCAAGTTGAAAATTGCCTTGGTCATCTTCGCACGGGAATGACAAACACTTGCCCAGCCTGAATTCTTGCCAGCTCTCAAGACTTCAAATAATATATAACTTTCAGTAGCTCATCTCTGATTTCTGTTCAATATATTGTATTGATATCATAAACTTGTACGATCAAACCAATCTCCTCCCTTATTCATGTGTACATCTTATTGTGTACAGGTGATAGTAGACGCCTTGAGGACTTCACCTACAGGGATTGGAATTTTTCAAATCTCCTCCAGGCGGGAATGATGAATGTCTCCTTCAACTCGTTGTCCGGTCCTTTCTTTTTCAACAGCAGGGGAGAGAGGACACCGGGCATCGAGATCTTGAGGTTTAACAACGGTAGGCAAGATATTAGGTGTGACAACGGTAGGCAAGATATTAGGTTTAACAACGGTAGGCAAGATATTAGGTGTGACAACGGTAGGCAAAATATTAGATGTGACAACGGTAGGCAAGATATTAGAAATGAACCAATCAGATGTCCAATATCTCATACAATCAGATGTCCAACGGTAGGCACACTAGATGCAAACAGCGGTAGGCAACATATTAGATGTAACAATGTTAGGCATGACATTAGATTCAAACAACGTTAGGCATAATATTACGTGCACGTACAAGAACAATAATTTGCACTGTAATGTTTCGTCGAAAATAAATATTAGAAACACATTTTAAAAAGATTATAATGCTAAAAAAATTTATTCGAACATGAAATGACAATATTCTATCGAACAATTCAAGAGAAACAAACTGAATTTTTATATTTATTTTTCCTTTCATTTTAAAGCCACGTAAACAATATTGTCTGAAGCGAGCGTTATTTTGGTCTGTAATCTGTTGACATTATTCTTAATTTTTGGGAATACTTTTTTTCACGCAGACCAACCCCCAACGTTTTCGTTCTTGGGAACCTGTCACCTTGACCTTTCATGTGAATGGAACTGTTCTCTAAATACCGACAAGATTAATTGGTCATTAGGTGAGGAAGTGTGACGTAAGCGTGAAAATGATTAAATTTTTAAACAATTGTACTAAGCTGAGAGAGCCGATTGGGATGCAGACACCGGATAAATGGATTATCGTCTGATTGTTTATATCATAATGACCTAATCCCTTACGAGCCTGAAAATTTGTGTACAATCTGTATTTCTTTTTTTATATAATTGCAGACACTGGTGATGTGAATGGCATTTTGTTATTACTTTAGAGTATTAGGACTAAGTCCAAAATCTAAGACACGCAAATGGAAGGATCTCCGCCAAAATGGTTTCATTCTGAAATTTTTAGGGTAAAAAAAAACAACTTAAAAAGTATTATTTTCAGAGAACTTGATTTAATTGCACATGTTTCAGGACAACGGCCAGTGGACGGGCTGCAGTATAAGTTAAGGACGGTGCGGATCGATAGTCACTTACGGTACATCTTCTGGACACTGTCCAGTCTAGGAATCGTTCTGTCCATTGGGCTTCTTGGGTTCAACATCGCCAAGAAATCGCACAGGTCAGTGTTGACTTGGTACATTTGACAAGGTGGTTGGTTGGCTGACTTGATCCACATATGCGATACACACAGGGGATACGCACAGGCGATACATACATACGATACACACATTCGATATACACATTCGATACACACATTCGATACACACATACGATACACACATTCGATAAACATTTGATACACTCATGCGATATACAAATTCGATACACACATATGATACACACATACGATACACACATTCGATACACACATTCTATAAACACATTCGATACACACATTCGATACACACATTCTATAAACACATTCGATACACACATTTGATACACTCATGCGATATACAAATTCGATACACACATATGATACACACATACGATACACACATTCGATACACACATTCCCTAAACACATTCGATACACACATTCGATACACACATTCGATACACACATTCGATACACACATTCGATACACACAGGCGATACACACATAAGATATGCACATACGATACGCACATAGATACACACATAGGCGATACACATAGGCGATACACACACGCGATACACACATACGATACACACATGATTGTTAATTGTTGGAGTGGAACACATAAGTTTGTTGCTTGCAAAGACGAACATTTTCCCTTGGTATTCAATTGTAAAATGCGAGATCTTATATGAAAGAATATGTCACTTAGTAAAATTACCCATTAGCACTGCCGATGTATAAAAACGGTATTTTTTTTAAAATAATAAAACCACCATCAAGATAATGAATGTTTTTTATGGACTTTTATATATTTTTTAATTTGCTTGACATATTTTTTTTTCGTCAAGGATCATCAAAATGTCATCACCTCGCCTCAACAACATCATCCTTGTGGGGTGCATGGTTGCCTACAGCACCATCTATCTCCTAGATGTAGAGGGGGAGGAAGCTCAGCCGGCTTGTGTGGTAGGCTGGATGTGTGGCTTAATGTTTGTGTGGTTTTTTGGGGACCAGTGGGGTAATGTTAGTAGTTTTTTGGGACCAGTGGGGTAATGTTAGTGGTTTTTGGGACCAGTAGGGTAATGTTAGTGGTTTTTTGGGACCAGTGGGGTAATGTTAGTGGTTTTTTGGGACCAGTGGGTTAATGTTAGTGTTTTTTGGGACCAGTGGGGTAATGTTAGTGGTTTTTTGGGTCCAATGGGGTAACGTTAGTGGTTTTTTGGGACCAGTTGAGTAATGTTTGTTGTTGGTGGGACCAGTGGAGCGATGTTTGTTGTTGGTGGGACCAGGGGAGCGATGTTTGTTGTTGGTGGGACCAGGGGAGCGATGTTTGTTGTTGGTGGGACCAGGGGAGCGATGTTTGTTGTTGGTGGGACCAGGGGAGCGATGTTTGTTGTTGGTGGGACCAGTGGAGCGATGTTTGTTGTTGGTGGGACCAGGGGAGCGATGTTTGTTGTTGGTGGGACCAGGGGAGCGATGTTTGTTGTTGGTGGGGCTTGAGCCTCATGTTAAAAGGTGATGGTACGTGTTGATACATGTTTAGGGTTGATAGTTTCATGTTTAAAAGATCTTGATGCATGTTTGTGGTTGATAGCTGCATGTGTAGAGTTTGAGAAGTGTGAGGTAGTTTCATAATTCTATTTATGGGATAAGGAGACATGTTTGTGATTTTTTTTTTTTTTATTGTTTGATTTTTATGTTTGGGTACTTTGTTTGAGAAATATTTCAAGTATATTTTTTTAAAATCAATTGGAATGTGTTAAGATATTTGTTATAAGTAGCTGGTGCTGTCGGCTGGGCAAGGGTGTTAAGATAATATGTGTTAGAAGTAGCTGGTGCTGTCGGCTGGACAACGGTGTTAAAATATGTGGTAAAATTGTATGGTGTTGTTGGGGAGGTGGGTAGTATGTTAAGATGTGTGGTAAAGGTATCTTGTGGGGGGGGGAAGTAGAGTGTTAAGATGTCATGTTAGTGGTTTTGATAGTGGTTTTTGGTGTTAAGGTGTGTGGTAAAAGTGTATGGTGTTGTTTGGGAGAGGGGGGTAGTGTGTTAAGATGTGTGGTAAAAGTATCTGGTGTTGTGGGGGGAAAGCGTGTTAAATACAATAAAAATTATACGTTTCGTACCATATCCCAGATTATTTGTCTGTGTGTTCTACACCCCGATGTAATGTATGCATGAATACATCCGACAGATTCGAACCTTCACCATTGTCTTCAGTTTCTCGTTGAGTTTTGGCGCCTTGTTCGCTAAGACCTGGCGGGTTTACGAGATCTTCACAGCGGGACACAAGGTCCTCAGCACAAGGGTAAGCAACTGAAATGTTACATTAAGAAATGGCGTCAGCGGGGCGAGTCTAGACTCTTATGCCCCCCCCCCAATTACCCCTCCCCGGTCCGACGTATCGGGCCGCGGAGCGGCACTTTGGAGATGCCCACTCGTCAGGACGGCCCCCACACGGGCCCCTCACCCAAGTCCCCAGGAGGCACCCGGTCGATCCGACACTATGCGTTTAAACAGTGCACTCGATCGACTTTCTCAGGAGTTGGGATGGAAAAATTTACGTCCTAATATCTTCCCCCACCCATCCCGGGAAAGCGTCGGACGCCCTATAAGAGGGATTCCACAGTGGGTTTCCACAACGCAACTAATTCACGCCGTATCTGGGACGAAACGGTAAGCAACTCAAGCACATCATTCAGCTTTGAACGAAATAGTCGATCTTCTTACAGTTCCTGGCGGCGTGTTGGAATTGTCTTGTTAACAGGACATATGAATATAGCATTAAAATAATGTGTCTGAGATGATGTCATTATATATTTAACTGACGTCTTTATTCACTCTTCATCCTTCAAGATGTTACGAGACAGCAGCTTGTTCCTCATTGTGGCCGTCCTGGTGGTCATCAACACCTTGACTTTAGTCGGCTGGGTTGTGGCATCCCCCCAGGAGCCGACTCTGGTCAACATTAGTACGACAGCGGTAATGCCAGTTTATGACTACTTGTGTGTGAATGTGTGTGTGTTTACCTTTTAGGCGTTATTATGAACGAAGCATATGATGATTTTTAATGCAGTGTACATACATAAAAATGTAGATAAACGTACATATTTACCAACATTAAATACATACTTATTTTTGAAGTAACATTTAACAATAAACTAGTAGCCTTTCTACATATGTTGTTTACAAATGTATAGTATTATCTATTGTTTTTTTTTAAGAGCTGGTGGACACACATATGTGGTTACTCGAGTTCAACTTACTTTTGCATTCCACAGCCCAACCCTTACAATGACATCGCATACATCAATCAGTTCCAGAGGTGTGACTCCACTTACCGCCTCCATTTCCTATGGGCGCTCATCGCCATTCAGGGCGTGGTCATACTGTTGGGGACGTTCCTGGCCGTGCAGACGAGAAAGGTGAAGAATAACTTCCGGTCGACAATCCCAAAGTTTCAATATTATATCATTGACAAGTGCCCGGATCAGAACTGTCTCAACTAGTTCTAGGAGCAGGGGCGGCGTTCAAACGTGTTGCGTGCACTGGCCGACTGACTTATCTGATCATGGAGACATAACCCGTCCCCCACCCCCACCAATGTCATCTTATTTATAACACAAGGGGTCGACCCTCAAAAACCCAATTTCGCTCACCTTTAATAAGTTAAATATTTTTTTTTTTAAAGAAACGAAACAAATATAGTAAAGACATTTCTCAAGTTCTCTTACCAAATGAGGTAATCCGTGTTTTCTAAACTTGCAACATTGAAAAAAGTAAAGCAGATTAGATTTGGATTTCTAACAAATTTAATGATTTTGAGATACGGAAGACGCAATTTCGCATTTTCTGGCCCAACAATTTGGAACACCCTTCCTGTCGCTCTCAGAAACAGCCAGACACTGGAGTCTTTCAAACCCGATTTGAAAACACACCTACTTCGCAAACACCTGCACGTGTGATGTTGTCTACCATCTTTTCCAACTGGCTATTATCTCTTACATTTATATTGGACTGTGTTGTTTATGTTTGCAAGGGATGAAAGACTTAAAATGAGTATTCTCGTAGGTAGTTTTTGTAATGTTGCGTTTTGTATTTCAATGTGGTATAATATAGATTGTTTCATTTCTCTTTTATTATGTTTGACTTTGTACCGCGCTTCGAGGATTTGAAGGATGAAGCGTGATTTCAAAATAAACTTTATTTTTATTATAGGACACGGTGAAAAGGCAGATGGCCTGCCAGTCCTATCTGTGCCTGGAAAGCTTTCCCGCAAGCAGGACACACGTTGATTTTTTTGGGTCCTAGTTGCATTGGGGTCGATTCTGCTTTTCCAAGCCGTGCGCTATCTTTTGAGCATCAGAGGTGCGCTCACTCTCTAAGGATTTTGCTCAAACAGTGAGCCTGGCTCTCCAGCTTGTACGATCCACAAGTGTTTTCCCAGAATCAAGGTCAAAGTCCATGGATATGAGTGGAGCTTTTAGGCAGTCCTTGAAGCATGTTGTCTGCCAAACGATCGAGCGTTTCCCATTGGAGAGCTCGCCAAACATTAGTAGTTTGGGAAGTCTGCTGTCTTGCATTCTTGCACTATGTGGCATGTCCTTTTTGTAGGAGCGCGTGGATCTGATAAAGTCTAGCTGTTGTGGGACTTTCGTATCAGGGACTTAGTTCTGTCACCTTATGCCAATTAATATACGTAGACAGCGTTGATGACGATTATTTAGTTTGCTGCTATACATTGTCCTCATCTCGCTAGAATATAGGAGATATATTAATATCATTACCTAATATAATAATAATGATAAGACGTCTTATACAGTGCGGTACCCCAGGCTAGGGCTGGGCTCACCGCGCTGTACATAAAAATTTTATCGAAAGAGACATAATAATGACATTAAAATAAAGTACCTTTATGAAATAAAGACCAGCAATGTATATTCACCCACCACACCACATAACTTTTACAAGGCAAACCATGGACGGCAGCCAGCAAGATCGTTTATCGATCAGAGGAGGGCAATCAGTCAGGGTAGTATAATTTAAAAAGATATGTTTTTAGTGCAGTTTTTATATACTTTCATATTACCGACAAAAATCAGATCTGCGTATGCGAGATCACTGCTATGTGGTATTTGCGTCAGTCGTCCTCTAAGTAATGAACAGCAGACATTTTCAGCGCCTATCATTTAAGTGTCCATAATTAAATACCATGAAGACATTTGGTTTTTGCTGTGAAAAAAGACTCGTTCTTGTGGTAGCCATATTTTTCCAGAACTGCGCATCTGTTGAATATGTCATTGCGCATGTGTGGGGAACCTTGTCTATTTAGGGGATCTATAAAAGAAAAATTCAAACACCTTTTTGTGTGTGCTTTTTTGTTTGCTCCAACAAATGTTAAGAAACATTTCCTTTTCCTTCAGGTGTCGTGTCCTGAACTCAACGACTCCAAGTGGATCGCCCTTTGTATCTACAACGTCGTTGTGCTCAGTCCGGTGGGTGTGGTGGTCGTCATGGCGACGGAGGACAAACCGGAAATCAACTACGCCCTCGAGTCCAGCATGATCCTGCTGGTCACCACGATGACGCAATGCCTTATCTTCGTTCCAAAGGTTAGCTGGCTTCTACGGTGAACACGTGTTTTATGTGTACTTGAATGGACGAACTACACAACAGAAGATATTTACGTCGTGTTAATCACTCGTACCACCATACATACATACATACGTGAAGACATAATATTGAATACACACATATGCAATACCTCATTTTCGTTGCCCATGGTGTTACGCACTGCTATCCGTAGGGAGAAATTAATCTCCTATTTACATGTATGACTCGTTCCAAAACAGTGCATAACAAAAGACGATACCAAAGGATAAAAACAATAACAGAGAAAAACGATACTCGGAACAGAGCTAATTACAATTAATAAGTTTTATTAAGTTAATAATAGAGTACAAATGTCAAAAAGAAATATTATTGAAAGCTATTAACTTACAGTATATTGTGTGACTAGTGCCAGTACAATGTCGAAATAAAACACAGTGTGCAGCAAAGTACAAATAATGAAAGGAATGGCTACTGTAAACAAACTCTCACACGTTCTATAATAACTCACGCTACCTGCGCCTCTGCTCTGCAGCCTGCTGTGTGATTCAACCACTCGCCGTATTTATAGTCTATTCCATAGAAAATTCCAGACACATTGCGCATTTTATTAGTGACTTAAACGCTCCACAATTTTCTATCAAATTCGAGTCACGAAAAACAGGCGATATATTGGTTTGCGGTAAAGAAGATCAAAGGAAGTAAGCCACGCCCAATACCAACGCAGGCGAATTTGGATCAGCTTAAGGTTGTTCACCACGAAAGGATTAAATAAGAGTACAATATAGAACGCCTATAAAATAACAATGGTAACCGGCTTCTGCGGTAAACTCTTACTTAATCATATGTATTTATAGAGGTGGGTTGATAGCATAGTATTTAAGTGTGAAAGAGTTGGAGACGATTGCAAGAGACCGGTAGGCGTGGAAAGATATTTTTGTTGGTCTATGCTTCTCTGAGTGAAGAAAAGATATTGTTGTTGCTCTATGCTTCACTGAGTGAAGAGAAGATATTGCTATTGGTCTATGCTTCACTGAGAGATGGAAAGATATTGTTGTTGGTCCATGCTTCCCTGAGAGAAGTAAAGATATTGTTGCTAGTCTATGCGTCACTGAGTGATGGAAAGATGTTGTTCGCACATGATCCAGTTAGAGTTAAAAAGGGTGACAAAAAATGTTATAGCGTTTTTTTTAATACCACATTAAAGAAGTATGTCACGTTGAATATTATGCCACCATACACAGATAAAGGAAGACACACACACCCACACAGACACACATATGCACAGACAAACACATTGACACACATACACACTGTCACGCTAACTCTTTGCCTTACCTTCTGTGAACTCATGTTCATAAAATCAATCCATCACATTCTGTTTTTACACACATTTGAAGACTTGAGCGTCATTAATTAAAGGCCACAAAATAATTGGAAATATAATTTTTTTGTTTTTTGTTATAAACGAGGCTAAAATTTTCAAACGAAGAAAAACTTACAATTAATGTCCAATGTTTCCCTAACAGATTGTCGCTTACAGACGTCACAATCGCGGCAAGAAAACTTCATCGAAGCTGGACTTCAAACTGAAACTCCGCAGACTCAATAACGTCTTCACCCTACGCCTCGTTGACCGCGGGCCGTTGAGCAAGAGAGGAAGTGACGCAAGCAACAGCTGTGAGGCCTCGCAGCAGACCGACGAGACGGACGAGTCGTCAGTGGCCGGAAGCAACCGTTGCCGACAGTTCTGCTCCAAGGCACGAGATCCGGTGAAGAAATCGCAATCCCTTTCTCCGATCAAACAACATTTTAAGACGCTCTTCCCGATGAAAGCTGGGACGGGGGTGTTTCTGACCGAAAAGGAAGGAATTTTCGCAACGAGTGAATATTCTTCCGGGTTTAGGACGGTCAAGGCCAATTTCGAACGCGGAGCACACCAAACTCTTCATTTTAAACTTTATGAAAAGCATATTTTGCCTCGATGGAAATCAGAGCCAAACGTTTGTCCCGTCAACGGCCGAAAATTCCCACCTCCTGGATTACACCTTTGGAGAAATCAACGGGAAGACCAGACAGTCACCTGCCCGGAGCAGGTCAAGGTAGCACCGGCAAGTCTTTCCAGCGTGGTAGACGTTGGGTGTCCCGCGATGCAACACGAGATTGTTCTTGACGAGATTAAGTTGAAGGCCGATGTAAAGATGTCATCGAGGCTCGGGTTCAAGGCCAGCCGGGGGGACGAATTTGTGGATATTTCCCAAGCCGAACAAATCCGGGAAGTCCTGAGCCGCTTGAAGGAGGCTGTGGACAGTGCCTCGGGGCTGGATGCAAGTGGTCTGTAAGGCCCTTTAGGGAAGCTGTGAACAGTGCCTCGGCGCTGGATGCAAGAGGTCTGTAAGGCCCTTTAGGGAAGCTGTGAACAGTGCCTCGGCGCTGGATGCAAGTGGTCTGTAAGGCCCTTTAGGGAAGCTGTGGACATTGCCTCGGGGTTGGATGCTAGTGTTCTCTAAGGCCTCGATCGTATGACCCATGCAGTTTGCGGTGAGTGGACACAGTAGGTGGACGGTGATTCGAGGGCCTCTTGCTCTGTCCCTTGCTTAGTGAACTATGTAAGTTGATGTACAGCTGATCTAGCCCTGTCACTTTCTTTGGGCTGCTAGATATCTCAAACTGTAAGCAACTTTGGCGGAGTTTCAATTTCGTAAGGAGGCGAGTTGAGAAGTTTAAATATAAATAGTTTCACGTTATTGTTGTAATTTTTTTCTAAATTTGTAAATATTATGAACCAACGTCTTGTTGTTAAAATATTATATTACTATTATGGCTATATCTAACTATTATGACACTGTAATGATTGAGACAATCACCAAGAGAAAACGATTCATTCGTTTGTAGATGAGGGCGCCATCTAGGCAAGCCAACGAGACACGGCTGATTCAATTATTTCATCGTTTCGTGATCAGTTGTTTTATCTGTGTTGTTAGTGGCACATAGTAAGAAATCGGAGTCTATAAACAAATGAACCACGAAGTTCAACTATGAAGCTATGGCAGCTTCGACACTGGGTAGAGGTTCAACTATGAAGCTATGGCAGCTTCGACACTGGGTAGAAGCTCAACTATGAAGCTATGGTAGCTTAGACGTTGGGTAGAGTATTCCAGATGAGTCTCTTCATTGTTTATCTGGCTGATCGTGTATAAAATGTGCTATTTTAAGCAATTCAATACATTTCCGACAAGTTAATAACCTTGGCTAGGGGAGTACAATTATATTATTTCTCTATTCGTATGAGTAAAACAAAAATGAATGGACTTTCCCATCAGTTGCCAGTCATGTTTTATTGAAACAATGGACCTACGACCTCCTTGGGATGAGCGCATTATTTAAATTGCATCTTTACGTATTGACTCTTTCAATTGTGATTTTATTGATGTGCTTGCTTCGTTGCTACGCAGGAGTCTGGGTAATTAAAAGTAACAACAAAATATCTTCTAATGATAAAATCCAATTCTCACGGGCGAATTCAGCGCTCGGACAGTCTCAGGTACGGCATTAATGGTTGGAATAGAATTTTGGCTACTGTATAATTATTTTACATGATTTGTTTTCAATCAGTCATGCAACTCTGACAGGAGCAATGGTTAATAGTTGTCCTTTGTCCACATATTATTGAACTAAAAGGTAATATAGATGGGGGGAAAACTTTGTACCCATCAGGACCAGTCCTTAGTTTTAAAAATATTATCTGGTGATAACGTGTACCCACCTAGAGTGCAGTTGTATAATATGTGATTGTATAGGGTGCGATTTTATAAGATATGATTGTATAGGATAAGATTAAATTGTATAGGACGTGGTTGTATAGTATGTGATTGTATATGATGTGATTGAATAGGCTGTGATGGTATGATATGAGATTGTGTAGGATGGGATTGTATAGAATGTAATAGTGTAGGATGTGATTGTATAGGCTGTGATTGTATGGGATGTCATTGTATGGGATGTCATTGTATATGCTTTGATTGTGTGGGATGTGATTGTAAAGGCTGTGATTGTATAGGATGAGATTTAATATGATTGGATTGTATAGGATGTAATTGTATAAGTTGTGATTGAATAAGATATGATTGTATAGGATGAGATAATAAAGGACGTGATTATATAGGATGTGATTGTGTAGGATGTGATTGTATAGGATGTGATTGTATAAAATATGATTGTATATGACGTGATCGTATAGGATATGATTGTATAAAATGTGATTGTATAGGATGTGATTGTATAAAATGTGATTGTATATGATGTGATTGTATAAAATGTTATTGTATATGATGTGATTGTATAGGATGTGATTGTATAGAATGTGATTGCATAGGATTTAATTGTATGAGTTGTGATTGAATAAGATATGATTGTATAGGATGAGATAATAAAGGACGTGATTATATAGGATGTGATTGTGTAGGATGTGATTGTATAGGATGTGATTGTACAAAATATGATTGTATGTGATGTGATTGTATAGGATTTGATTGTATAGGATTTGCTTGAATAAAATGTGATTGTATAGGATTTGATTGTATAAAATGTAATTGTAAAGGTTGTGATTGAATAAGATATGATCTTATAGCATAAGATTCTATAGGACGTGGTTGTATAGGATGAGATTGTATAGAATGTGATTGTAAAGGATGTGATTGTATAGGATGTCATTGTATAGGATGTGATTTTGACCAACGTACAGACGAGCTCAATTGTGTTTGATGTAAACATAACGATAAAGTCACGCATGTGTAGGATTTTATATCATTTTTTTAAATCCTTTATATTAGTTTAGCTTTTGTTAGTGTTTAGGGCAAATCTTCGGATGGCTAAAAGACCCACTTCCCTTCCTCCTATCGAACTGAAACTTGGCACAAAGACTCGTTGCCGATGACAACATATTTCTTTCAATTTTCATTCCCACTGC